TTGCTGTAAATCGAGCTTGTTTTGAAATGAAATAATTCAATTAAATAATACTAGAAATTGTAACACGCTTAAACTTTCAAGGGTTCTAATGACTTTTTACGTGACTTTTTTTCCCATCTTTTCCACCCCCTCAGACGTTTCTATTCATAAAAACATCCCCCAAAGGTCTCCCCAAATAACAATATTCAGCATAATTATTTTTAGATATTCGAGAAAAAAACAACTCCTGAGAATAAAAAGAGTGTGATTTGTAAACAGTTAAGTTCAGAAAGTTTGATCATCATGGATATTGTTTATTTCATAAGGAAAAATGTTATTCCAGGTAGGATTTTAATCGCAATTCGTTTATTTTATGAGCTTCTGGAAGTATATGTAAGTTCAAAAAATAAGTTCTTTTCTTAAAGAGGTCAAACTCTGAAATACAAAAGAATAATAAATCAAGTTTTTTTTTATTTAATGAGAATGTATAATGGAAAAGTTTCGAACAATATTTTGAAATCAATTAAAACTTTTTAAAGAGCATATACAGTTTTTTTTTCCTTTTGAAAAAAAAATTTTTTTTTATGTAAGTTATAAAAATCTTTTTGTTATCTCGTGAAAGTGCCTGATAATAATAAAATCCTGAAAAAATACTAAATAACTGTTTGGTTAAAATATATCATAACGGGAAAAATTTGTCTTGAATTTCGAATGTTTTGTTTATTTTAGTTAAAGTTTAAATTGGAAGTTCTCTGGGCTGTGTATTGTTCTGACTCATTATAATAAGTTGACTCCTTTTTATTCGAAAGAAAAATCAAAGTCATATTTCTAATCTGCTATAAAACTTCTTTAATTAGTAGCTATGTTTAAAGCATTTTGGAAACGAGAATTGCAAAATTATTTTATATTTTAACGACACAAATAAAAATGAACAAAAAAATTCCAAAAAAAAATGTTCACTTTTAAGCTGGGTTTTTTTGTAATTGTTTTTTTCTAAATAACAGTCTTGTCTTCTGTCAATATTCGCTACGCCTGAAATTAAGAAAACTTGATGAATTAATTATTACAAGGTATTTAAACTCAACTGACATGCTTGCCCTTTCAAATTTGTTTTCAAAATGAAACGTCAGAAGGTTTACGTCTGAAAGTCCGTAAGGGAAATGAAACTTTTCAAGGTCTACGTGATAAATATTTCAAATTTATTTTATTATTATAGACTTGACTTTCTTCTAATAAGTAATAACTATTTTTATGTTATCATTGCGTCAACTCTTTAACGCAGATGGGGCATCGGTGCCCCTTTTATATATTTTTTTTTCTGACTCTCTAATTACAAGTAGAAATATATTTTGGTATTTCTTAATTGTAAAAAACACTGTAATAGTTAATAAAAAAAATCTGTTATATTATTCGAATTATATTTGTAAAATATAAAACCGAAAAATTAGTTCGAATTATTTTTCATTCATATTCAAAAATTTATCTATAATTGAATTCTTAAACTATAGAAATTTCAATGATGAATAACTGTTTCTGTTACATCTAAATAATTGCAAATAAGTTCAAAATTGAAAAATAATGGTTTTCAAGTGAGCCGTGTTTGGCAGATGATCTTTAACGCAGAAAAAGGCACCAGTGTTTCATGCTATATTTCATAACCGTAAATTTCAAAATACCAAATTTAATACAATAATTAAGTTCATACAAAATAAGGAGAAAATTATAAAAAATATGTTTAATAAAAATTCTACAGTCAAAGGGTTCCCAATATGCTTAGTGATTTAAATAAACTTTCTCTTTTCTTATCATACTGGAAAAAGTTAAATAAATTTTATTTATTTTATTTTATAAAACCATTATTAAAATTTACTAATATTCTTATTAATTATTACTGTTTCTAACACTAATGATAATTCTAGGGAGGAAATGCGAATTTTCAATGATTGAATGAAATAATTGAAAAGGTATTTAACTTTAAAATTGCAATTGGGTTTATATAATTTAAAAAAAGCTTAATTTTAAGAGAGGACGCTACCAATGGTTATTAAAAAAATCCCGCAAATTTTACAATTTCTTTGTAAATTTTACGATTTTATAAAAACAAATGTATTTATTTGTGCATTATTCTACATGTTTTCATCTAAATTTAAACTACTTTTTAAAATTAGTCACCGGTAACAAAATGCCGAACAAAGTTTAAAAAAAAAATCATTTTAAAACTATATGAAAAGGAAAAGACGCGATAAATTCATCGATTTTCTCTAATATACTTGAAAATTTAATAATTTCTGTCGCATGTAGAATTTTTCTTAATGTCTTAACTAAATGCAAACAGGTAGAACAGAAATACCGTGAGAGACAGGATTAAAACTTTTTTAATCGAAAACTATAAATTAAGTTTCAAAAACTCTTAAGCGCAATGAAAACTACGTTGATTGTATGCCCTTAGAAATTTTCTAGTTAAACGGTTGGAAATTGAAAGCTATTGCACTTGAGAAAAAGAAAAATACTAGTTATATAAATATATTATTTAAAAAAAAGGCTGTTTATTATAGATATTTCAAAAAGAAAAAAGCCATTAAATCTTTATCATATGAACGCGCATTAAGTTCACAACCTACTGAAAAGTTTGAGCCAGAAATTTGCATCACCAGCATTAAACAATTGATTTGAAACAATAAAAGAGTTGTTTTACTACCAGTTCTACTTTTCTCTTTATTAAATTTATTTTCTTGTCTTCATTCATAAAACAGCGGGTTTGATGTGAATATTTGATAGTTAGGAATGAAAGGTTAAATGTCACGTGGGCGTCGGCAAAGAGAAGGAATGAAAAAGTTGAACAATTGCTAAATAATAGATTATAACATGAAGTCCATTTACAGGATCTCCTATTTAAACAGTATTCCTATTACAGTCTCCTATTTAAACAATTTTACATATTATTTAATCAACATTGTTGTAAAATGTAAGAACTTTTCCTGAAATTAAGAAACATTGCAGATACATTCAACGATTTTATTATCACTTACGATAAACTATAAAAAAGGCGAAAAGAAAAACATAACTTTCAAATTTAAGATTTCTATTGTATTTAAGCAAAATTCGAGAAAACACAGAACCCCTAAATAACGTTACAATACAGAAAAAATAGTCTCATGTTCTTCTATTACTAAATAATCTACTATTTAATAAAGTCGTAAACAATGTTTGAAGAACAAAATGTATTTTAACCCTTTCCTTCTAGCTTTCATGAAAATGACGGGGTGAAGTTTCGCCCTCTATTTCTCGTGCTCGTGATATTTTCGGGTACATATATGATATATACGGTTAAAGTTATCTATTTCTCGTGCCTGGAATCATATTTATTTCTTAATCAATACACTAGATCGGCAGTGCCAGACTATTTGTAATGTGTTAAAAGATTGTTAATTTATTTTAAACTAGATGTCAGCACTCATCAGACATGTAAGCAAGAAAGTAAGCCAAAATTTAAAAATAAATACATAGATTGTATATACAGGTAGTTTTTGTACAACATATTCTACACACTCTTAGAGTACTTTATGTTTTTAACATAATTCGACAGTCAACACACGTGAAAACATTGTCGTAAAAGCTCTGAACTCTAAATAAGAAAAATAAGTGATTTTTGGTACAAGCAAATGGATTTCACAAACTTAAATATTGGTGTTAGTACTTAAACAGCGTTTATGAGGAGCACACTTTTGATAACTTCAATTTACATCCGACTTGATTGAAAATTCCACAACGTTTCACGTATTATTTTTTTTTAATTTCATTTATAATTAATTACATTGTAAAACCTGATTTTTTTAAATTTTTTATTAAATATGTTACCATTTTGGTAAAAAATATTTGAAACAGCGAAATTTACATCAGTATTATTCAACTTGATAAATTTTGTTGGATATATAAGCTAAAACTGATGAAGTGTTCGTATCTATCTTTACAGGGGAGTTTTACATTATCGGCTACAAAGGCATATTGTCTCACAAAATTTATTTTACTAAGAAGCTCAGATCAAATTTAAAGAATGCAGATTAATATAAAAATAAATATTAATTTATTTATTATATAATTCTTAAAAACGCTAAAAAAACGTTGCAGTTTGTAGCCTTTTGCCCTTTCTTAAGAAAAAATTTTATTTTCAATAATGTAGCAGCAAAATATTACTGTGGCAATAATTCGAATTGAGAAACATGCGCAGAAATAATGTATGTTAATAATAAAATAGGAATGTACATAATTAAATGCTTATTTTATTGTAGAAAATATAGTATTGACGATATATACAAAACTGTTCACGAATGTTTCTGTCTTATACTGTGTCGTAAACAGTCCGGAAAAAAACAACAATAAAATTATAGTTTTGATTTATTTTATTTGACTTTCAGCAACAACTTGTGAATTTAGATTTACTTTGTTCTGGCACCAAGCCTCTTAGTTTTATATCTATCTTTCTATATAAAAAGTACTAAATCCAAGATAAATTTTGATTCAAGGCAGATTTAGAATAATATAAAATAGAACTATTTTGTACGGTTTTGTACGATGGGGAGAAGGGGAGGTATTATACAAAGTACGTACATTTAAACCAAATTTAAATTTGACTTTTTCCTACACACTCCTTAAATAAATATTTAATTTTATTTAAAACATAATTATTTTAATTTTTATGAAAAAGGGGGGTAGACTAATAAAATGTACGTACTCTAAGGGGAGGGGGAGTAAGATCTTATGTACGGTAAAGTACGAAAGGGGGGGAGGTGGTTAAAATTTCTCCATTTTTGTGTACGTACTTTTTGAACGGCCCCTTATATTTAATTTACTGTGCAAATTATTCACATAATGATAACAATTCGTATGTTACGCATTACACTATTTAAATTAAGTTGCAATTTTAGATTACTAATTACAAATTTTCATAAATTTTGCCATTTGGAATGAATTAATATCTATCTTTTCGAAATAAATATATTATTTTTTCCTTTTTATTCCAGCTATGACGGACAAAGGCCAAAACAAGAAAGTCCAAATATCTTCAACAGTTCCACCAGATGGTTTTCTTCCATATCATTGGAATGTTATTACACCAGCTATGGCAGCAACGGCTGCTAAAAACATAAATGAAACCGAAGAAACTAGAACCAAAGGGTTGAAAGTTATGAGAGAGATACTCAGAAGTAATTTATAGATATTTAACTCTGTTTGTTTCTTTATCAGTCATTTTAATTTTTTTATATATATATTTTGTGCGCAGGTTGTGCATTCTAAAACATTTGCCTCTCTAGATTACGACTAGAAAGTGACCGGCGAAAAATGTTCTAAGGACTGACCGTAATCACATTGCTCACAAAGCTAGCCATAAAAATACAAACATGGCCATAATTTTTTTTTCTCATAAAATATATGCCAATGGCCGTAAATTAACGGTATCCTTGTAAAAAAAGCTTTTTTTCAGTTCAGATATTGGCATTCCTTGATACATGGTCTCTTTGATCGTCGTAAGGCGAAACGTAGAACCAGACAAAATAGTATAATGTATAGTGCAGCCATCTATTGAGGAGTGAGAGAACTGCTTGTTTATTGTCCGTGGACACCCGTAATGAGGGAGTGCAAGACTCTTTTTTTGACGCCGACTGGTTTCAAACCTTGGATTTTTGTGTTCGTAGCACTTAGTTTGCAACTATCATGAAAAGGGTGTACACCCTGGTATGAAATTTTTTTATTATGATCCGTATTAATTAACGGCCAACTCTACTAATTATGCTGAAGATCGTCACAATTATAGGCACTAAGATTTTTTTGTCTAAGAAATAAGCTAGCTGTATAAATTAACGGCCAACCCTCCAAATTTTATGAAATTTTTTAGAGTGCAGTGTATTTATTACTCATGATGTCTATTTTTAGAATCTTTATCGAAAAATAAATCAATAAAGTAGGCATACACATTAAGGTCATAAATTGATAACTAAGCGAGAAAGAAATAAAAATGCTGTAGCAATTATTCAATTCACTAGTTAAAATGATGGTGAGGAAAACATTCAAACCATTATCGTCTGATGCTTTTTTAGAGATCTGATCTATCGTCTGATGCTTTTTTTTACCTTTAAACACTTCATCGTTTTCTGTGGCAATCAAAAAAGTTTTCATGTTCTCCTTTATGTCTTTTTCGGTAGGAATTCGTTCAATTTTGATAGCGTTTTGGTTTTTAACTTTTAAATGCTAATATTCATACTTCATAAACTGCATTTTTGAAAAGGGATCTAAAAATAAGTATTACGAACAATCATTATGGTATCTCTTTATATTAAGATCATTGATTACAATCTGTAATGTCTAATCCTCTATTATACAGTCCCTGATTAAATTATTAGACGCACTAAAGATTCTATGTAAAATCTTAATTACCAGGTGATACTATACAGCTTTATTGTTTTTGCACAACTGAAACCGGTTTCCACTAGCTTACGTTCGTGTATAAATTGGTAACATAGAAATGCAATTAAAAATAAATACAAATAGGAAGCTTATAAGAAATCTCTTGAATAAAAACCCATTACATGTATGTTTAATTATAAAAGTATTACATATAAACTCGTTCAAAACATGTAAATATTAAAAAATTACAGTGCGTCTAGAAATTTGGTCGAATTATTATAGTATACTCTATTTAATATTTATTATATAATACCTGATATAATAAATATTAATTATTATATCTGATATAATCGTGTATTAATTGGTTAACATAGTAATGCAATTAAAAAGAAATACAAATAGGAAGCTTATAAAAAATCTGAATAAAAACCCATTACATGTATGTTTGATTACAAAAGTATTGCATATAAACTCGTTCAAGACATGTAAATATTAAAAAATTACAGTGCGTCTATAATTTGGTCAAATTATTATAATATACTTATATAATGCCTGATATAATAAATATTCTATATTTATATTATATATCGTCTAATTTAACCAATGAATACACGAACGTAAACAAGTGCAAACCGGTTTCAGTCTTCTAAAAACAATAAAGCTGTATAGTATCACCTGGTAATTAAGATTCTACATAGAATCTTATAGTGCGTCTAATAATTTGGCCAGGGGTTGTATATAATCATATTTTAAATGCAATTTTTATGTTGTTAAAATTATTCTACAACAAATTACAATTATTATAGGAACTACAACAATTATACGAACAAATTTTTCACAATTTATTCTTAAAATATATTGTTTTTTTAAAGGTGATCCAGATATTGAGTTCACGGACGAAGATGACATTCTTCTCGTTTTCCTGAGATCCAGAAAATTTGACGGAGAGAGAGCGGCAGAATTTTTTAAAACAGGTTTACATTATGTAGAAAATTACCGCTACTTGTTACAGAGGAAAGATCCAGCTATACTTAGGAAATTCCTTAGGACAAATACGTTCGGCTTTCTTCCTTACAGAGACAGTAAAGGAAGGGCGATCATTTACGCAAGGGCCGGTAAGTATTCATTAACACCTGCGCAAATGAAAGTGTTTAAGAAATTATTTTTTAAAAATATCTCTCCGACCAAAAATGCAAGAATATAATCTTCGATTGTGCTTGTAAATTAATATAATTTGATTTGTTAAATTACGGTAAAATAACCGGGTGAAGTCTATCCATCCAATTAGCTGTAAAGTTTACTGTAAAAAACATTTTTTACTTTTATTTTTTTTAAATCGTTTACAACTAGTAGGGTTAGAAACATGAATATGAAACTACCATTTACAACTAGCATGGTTTCAAAACTGTAATAAAAGTTTAACAGGACATTGAAGCTAGGTTTTTTGTTGGGAAATGGGTTAGAAATCCGGGAGTGCAGGAGACTTTTCATGTGCTGAATAGAATGGAAGAAATATTGTGATATCAACGCTGGGGCTCGAACTCCTATTCTGTGGATCATGAGATTGAGACATTAGCCCTCTCGTCTATAAAGAACTGAGGAACTAAATTCTTTATTAAATGGGCCTAGTTGGAGTAACAAAATTCCGGTTATTTAACTGTATTAGAGGAAAACAGTTAATGAATAGTTTCTCTCACAGTTAAGAGTTTGAATACCATTTTATTTACGGTTAGTTGACTGTTTTGTCTGAATACGGTAAACAAAAAAATTTAAATAAATTGCTATTTAACCATTTTTTTCGAGAAATTTCTAACAGTGTATTTAAATAATAAAAATTATTGAATTAAGATATTAGTGACAAAGTGCTGCGAGAACCTTTTTTCTCGTTAAAGTATTAACGAGTTAAGTTTAAATTAAAAGTTCTGTAAGATATATAGGAGGTATGAAAGCGACATGGTAGGCAATTTTCTGTATATAAGTATTTCCGAACATAAGCCTAGCTTTACATAATGGATGTTTTATTAAAAAATTCACCCTATATAAGTCATAATAAAAATTATAATAAATACATTTAAATAACAAATATGCTTCGTTAAAAAAAGGATGAAAAAGAAGGAAAACTTCTTACTTGTAGCCATATAGCATGATCTCAACTCAGGGTATTTAATGTTTGTGCTATCTGATACTAATACTCAAGTGATTTAAATTTGATTGATTCAAGCTTTGATCACTTGACTCAAAAATTAATGCATATCCTCTTGAACTGATTGGGTACTAATTAAAAATCGAGTAAGAAACAAAAGAAAAAGGAAGTAGGAAAGTTTTATGGAAAAAAAACTATTAATCTAGCAAAACAATATAAATGTTTTTGTTCACGTTTCTATTTTACTATTCTTACAAAATGAATAATTTAAAACGTTTGACAAAAAAAAATTTAATAGCATTTGCTATTGCAAATATCGCTTAAATATTAATGAAACATGCTAGTTATAGTCATAGACGTTTATCAAAAAGATTTTATGCAGTAAAACACAAAACTTTAAAAAAATTTAGTTGGGTCTTAAAACAAACGTACAAAAAAAATAGTTTTTTCTTTTATTTCATAGTTACTTACTTCTTTCGCAAAAAACGTTTCTTTTTTAAAATAACATCATTTGTCTTATTTATTTAGATTTATGGGATCCAGATGAGATCGCAGCAGCAGATTGTATTTTCGGTGGACTGATATCTGTGAGATCAGCAGGCGACAATCCAGTCAACCAAGTGACAGGATTCGTGGTCCTGCTAGACCTAAAAGGGTTAAGAATCCAACAAATCATCGCAATGAGCAAATGGATGCTTTTTGGAACCGTTGCACTTCAAGTAAAGTTTCTATTCTTTCAGTTTCATGCTCCTAAACTCAGTAATTTTTTTTACATCAAATTAGATGTTTAAATAAATTTTTCCTCATTTGGAAATTTAGAAATTTTTTCGTTGCTTTCCTTCCAGTTCCATAATTTTTTCTTTCTTATCGTTTAAAACGACCCATTGTACAATTTCTAAATGACTGAATAGAGAATGTTTAATTTTAGCAAATAATTTTAAACCATAAAAGTTGTCACAAATTCTCGAAAACTGAACAGAATCGTTACAGGATAATATAAAATAAGATTAAAAATCAAATGCTAAATTGAATATATCATCTACAATAGAAAAAAATTCAACACAGAGGTTTTTATAGTTAAGATACGTACTTTAAATTACATTTTTTAGCCCACGTAGCACTAAAAACAGCATTTGCGTTTTAAAAATATTTCTTTCGTTTAAACATAACGTGTAGGTTTTCTGAAATGTTTCTACTATAATCTAGTAACATTCTAGTAATCTAGTATTATAAATCTAGTAACATTCAAATTCGTGATTATCTAATTATAATACGGAGATTCAGACATTTGAATGCTTTCCACGTTTTATACATCTACCAATTCATTAGGCCGGGATAGCCTGGTCGGTAGGGCGCTGGGCCCATGTCCGAGAGTTCGTGGGTTCGAACCCCACCGGACAAAGACGGTGTAGTTGATGACTGATGCACGTTACAATTCTGTCGAGTCGCAAAGTCCTCCATGTTCCCATAACAAATCAATACCTCTGAGGGTACTGGATTGGAGATCGATCGTTCTCTGATTCAGGTCAAAATTACGATCTGTGGATGAATAAATGGATGTATGAATGGGTTCGCCTTATAAGCAGGTGTGACGTACGATGTGGCAGAAGTCGAATTCTTGACCATAGATGGCGCCACTGAAAAACAAGAATCGCAGACTTTGCCTTAAATTTGATCGGTTTCACCAAGCTGGCTTGCCCGTGTGGCAAGCGGCATTAGAACCAACCACCAATTCATTATTTTTGCATTTAATATTTTTACCAAAGCGAAAATGTGTCGCTAATGCATGATAATAAGCTTGATACTTAAAAGGACGCCATACTATGGGAGAAACTTTCCATCGCAAATTCTCTTTCACTTTCATAAGTCGTTTAAAATTTATAGTATAGAAGAAGGGAGTTCTGAAGAACCTAGAGTAATAATTGAAGTTTCAAATGCTGAAAAAAAAAATTATTTCTTCAAGATCAAAACGAAAATTAAATTATGAGAAGATAACTTTGGATTACGCAATGGGGAAGTTGTCTTCCAATAATTTGTTTGAATATTGATATTTTCAAATTCATGACTAACTCTAAATTTGGTGAAGATTTGGTATGAAGGTGAAAGAGAATTTGCGATGAAAAGTTTCTCCCATTGTATGGCGTCCTCTTAAATAGTGAAAGTACGAGAAAAGGAAGAAAAAACTTGAAATGAAAAAAGTCTTTAAATAGTGTAATATTCATTTTCATTTTTCATTTTCATTATTCAAATATTCATTTTTGAATGTTTGAATGATATTATTCAATTATAAAGTCAAATCGTATTAGTAGAATAGTATTAGTTATGATGAATAAGTATAAAACCAGTAAATTATGATATCTTTGGGAGATTATCTCTAATTTATATTAAATAAGTTTCATAATAAATATAAGTAAGTATTATATAAGTTTCATAACAAATTTTTCAAATGAAATAGAGATCCATTAAAATAATTTTAAAAGTAATTTTGTAACTGAAACTGTATAATCGTCTTAGTGTCTATCGAGTGATTAATGGAGCAAATATCGAGATATGTTGACATGTATACAAACTTTTGTACTTTTCCTAATATTTTTGTACCAAATTTAAGTTCATATGTATTTATTTACTAATATGCCTAATGCAATTTTGATTTTTTGTTATCTTGCATTTCCTTGACACCCTTTCTACATTAAAATTTAATGAACTTTAAAACACTGTCATAATTTTCATTTAGTTGCTTTTCATAATATTTTGTTATTCAATGATTCTAATGTTTTCAATGATTCTAATATTTTTTTTGTCAATTCTGTCACTGAAGTATATTTTATCCCAATAGCGTGCTTGTCCATGTTTTATGAAAGCCTTTCATGTCATCAATATTCCGTCATTCTACAAAATTGGTTGGAAAATTGTCAAGCCGCTCATTAGTGAGAAAATACGAAAAAGGGTAAGAAAGTTTCTCTATATATGCTATAGTTATATAAGTCCTTAAAAAATAAAACAGCAAACATCACACAAAATTTGAAAACAATTTTTATTGTGATTTTTTAGATGGTAGCTGATTTAAGATTCTCTTGCATTTGAAATATTAAAGCGTATATTTTTTTCCATAATTTCTTACTCATCCCGCTATAAAACGGACCTCGGCAACGTCACATTTATTTTTAGAACAAGGAGATTCCGCCACCTGTTATTTCCACCCTCCCACTCCCGTGATTGCTTTTCATTCATCATTGTTTTTCACTTTTTCCCCTCCTCAAATGTCGATATTTTTTTTAAAAAATGCTAAGAATACGAAGATTATTATTTTCCTTATTAAATATACACCGAAGAGCTATTACATTATGACCACCCTGCTAATAACATGTAGGACCATCTTTAGCCTTCAAATCTGCTAGCACCCGCCGTGGCATTGATTCCACAAGGTGCTGATTGGTAGTCTGGGGTATCTGGTACCAAGCGCTCACCAACTGGTCCTGCCATTCCCTCACATTGCGAGGTGGTAGCGTGGCAGCACGAATTTGGTTTTCCAAGTAGGACCACAAATGCTCTATTGGATTAAGGTCAGGTGAATTTGGGGGCCAAGACATGACTTGAAAGTCACTGGAATGTTCCTCGAACCAATCCATGACGATTCGACCCTTATGACATGGTGCATTATCCTGTTGGTAAACACCATCCCCCGCAGGAAAAACTGTTGCCATGAATGGGTGAACCTGGTCTGCAACTATGTTCAAGTAGCTTACAGACGTCAGGGATTGTTCTATGAGGATTATGGGTCCTAATGTGCCCCATGAAAACATTGTTCCTGGGCGAGAAACCATGAAAGCCTGGGCGAGCCCATTGTTATAGATGGAGGATGGTCATAGTGTAATAGCTCTTCGGTGTATATTTTTTTCATAATTTCTTACTCAACCCGCCATAAAATGAACCTTGCCAACTTCACATTTATTATTAAAACAAGGTATTTTTTTTAATTCTAAGAATACGAAGATTATTTGTTTTTATTAAACATATAGTCATTATATTTTTATGTTAGAATACTTTATTTGTTAATTATCATGACATAAATAACTACTTGGATTTTTAAAAAAATCATCTGTACTTTAAAAAAGTACGTAAACTTAAAAATACTGAATGTGGGACGCAATAAAAAGCAGTAAATAGAAGTAATTTTAAGTGTTAACAATATTCAACAATCCAGTTCAAATTAAAAATTTATTTTATCTATCTTTCCTCACTTTTTCGCTTTTTTATTCTAAATATTTTATCTTTAAAATATACCTATTCTAATTAATGCTCAAAAAATAAAGTTTTATAATAATATTTTATTTATTTATTTATTTTTACTATTTACAGACAGAATATGGGCAAATTAGTTGCACCAACCCAACCATTTCTTTTTACCTTGAAATAGCAATGCCGTGTTATGTCTTAAAACATTTTTTTTAAACTGTCTTAATGTAGGTCATAAATTTATTTATTTTTAAAAAATTTCCAAACCTTCACAACTAATTATGGGAAAATCCCCGTTTGGACGAAATTCCAATAGATGTGGAAAATATATTCTACTTCTTTCGAAAATGCAAACCGCAATAACAAACAAGTTTTTTATTTACAAATAATAAATTTGTTTTTGTTTTTTTTTCTACATGGGGTAAAACAGCGCTGAAGGCAATTTTGTTGCCTCGGAAGGTGTACCAGGTTACGTTGACCTAGCACTTTCAGGTAACAAAATTAATTTTGATAGAAAAACCATGTGAACATCTGTGTTGTTTATCACAACGCTTTTTTTCCCCTGTGACGCAACAACCCCACAGGATGAACACATCTAATATTCTCATTGCGTTGTTTCTTTTCCCATTTCTTAATTTACTCAATTTTTTTTTTTTTTTTTTTTTTTTTTTTTTTTTTTTACTTTCTCAAGGATAACTCGTGTATGCTGCTTTCGTTATAGAAGTAGAAAGACTTAAACTTACGTTCAATAGTAAATTAACTCTTTAATGATTGTGATTTATTTTCGAAAAGAATTTCATTCAGAAATTTCTAGAATACGATGTTATTTTCATGATTATGGAAAATAGGAATGAAAAAGTTCCGGTTAAATTTTTTTTTATATCCAAAGCAGTTAAGAAAAGAGCAACAATGTAGGGGTTTATAAATATGCTTATTTTTTTGAAAATGTTCTTAGATTGACATGACTTGTAATTATTTAAAATAAAAAGAAATCATCTAACCGGTTATGGTGATTAATATTGCTTCTTTGCCATCATTAATATTCCTTCCGTGTGCCACTGTAATGTTTGTTTCGCAACACGGCACAGTGGACCAGCATCCAAGGTTTCGCGGTCAAAATTAGAACTTCGATAAAATTTGTTTCAAAATTTGGGGGTATTTATGAGCTATTAAATTGAATTCATAGTTGAAATTTTGAAATGCACTAAAAATGACAACAACAAAAAATGGCGGCTGAAATATGGCGAGCAAAAATAAAAATAAAATAATATAGTACGTTTAAATAATTAAATATAGCAATGAAAATATAATAATTTTCATAATTTTATATTAAAAATGAAAAGCAAATTATATTTTTGAAGTAATATTACAAAAAAAAAAATAACGTGAAAACATGAAAAAAAAACATAATTTTTGTTTTTCGGTATATTTAGTCCACCTTTGCAATATGGGCAAAATGGGGCAGGTTTTTTTCGAAAAAAGAAACATCAAAGAAGACAACAAAAAAAAGTTTAGCTAATTACCTCGTGGAACTTTTTAGAGATAAGTTTCGAAAGTGATTCAAACATTGCAAAATGTCAAATGATAAGATATAAACTATAAGTTTGTCAAGAGTATTAACTAATCGAACAAATTGAAAAATTGCCCTATAATTTCAGACTAATTACTCTGATAAAAATGTAACAGAAAGGTGAAATTCCTATGTATATTTCTGAAATATAAATTTAAAAGTTGCATTTTAAAAAAAATTAACATATTTTTCACAACATTGTACTCTCGTCGGTCCAAAAAGTAAATTATAATGTTTGGAATGATTATGAATGCTTAATTTGGGTTACATTAAATGTTAACTGCCGAAACATATTTTAGTTGAAATTTAATTTTTGTCTTTTGGCCCAAGATCATGGTCTCCTGTCCCACAGTGCACGGTTATGAAAATTACTTGATATTTTCCACACTATAATAGATGGAAAGTGTTAAACAGCATTAATACGTTTACCAGCAACACAATACCATACTGCTTTAAAAAATGGTTTTTGGGATAATATACAATGTGCTCAATATTTTTAACTCTTTCTCACTTTAATCTATTGATATTGAAGGGAAAAAGGACATTTTATAAATTTTGTTAAGTTAAAACTTTGTTTTAAGTTAAACTTTTTCAGTTTTGTTTAAGGTAAGCATGCGAAGAAAAAAAAACATTTTTTATATATAAAATTGTAATTCCGTTTAATTTTTTGAAAATAAATGACTTAATTTTCTCTTGGAACGACTTTCTCATAAATAAAAAACTAATGAAAAAAATGCGAAATACAATATTATAGCCATAAAAAAATTCTTCTCATTTCAACATAATATTACGTTTTTTTTTACTTGTGATAGAAAAGCAGTGTTGTCAAAAGATAAAAAAATTTAGGAGAATTCTCCTATTTTAAAAGTTGTGTTGCTTAGAAGCCACAGTTTAATTTAATTTGTAATATGTATTCTTCATTTTACAAATGAATTGGATATTCCTGTAGAATATTATATTCTATTAGTAAGTATGATAAACATTCTAATATTTAGCCGTATTGAATATCTAATTATAGGATGCATTTGGTAAAATTTATTGATTTGTATTTTTAATTATAAATAAATAAATTGTAATGTCCTTTATTTCTAATTGATTTTTATTTCTAACTATTTCTTAGTTATAATTATTTTTATTATTATCTGCTACTTATTACTATTACAGTCTAAACCATATGAATTTTAAAACTTTCATAAATTTGTTGCAAGTATGTTTTATTATTATGGTTTATGGATTAAGAATTGTGTTTGTAAAACAAATATTCTCCAGTTCCATATATTTTTATCATCAATGCATTCATAATAATGTGTCACTTGGCGTGCATAAAAGTGAAAATATTGCTAATAAACAATGGAGGATTTATTACTTTAACATATTATTAATTAACACTAATTATAGTCAATTGCAAAAAAGAAGTGGATGGAAAATGCTCACCAATTATCCGTTCCATATTGAAGTATCCCACAAAATTCAAAATTAAATCAACTTCTTTGCTAATAATTAACCAACTCTAACTGCTTAATTCTTTCTCTTACACTCCCTTATATTTCACTATTTTTCTTTTTGAGTCTGATAAGCCATTGCTTAACTTAAGAAATTAAGCAACTCTAACTACTTAACCATTTTTCTTACACTTCCTTATATTCTTTTTTTTTTCTTTTGTCTGATAAACCAAATTAAAATATCCCACGAAATTAAATCAACTATTCTGCTAATTAATTAACCAACTCTAATTGCTTAACCCAGTGTTTCCCGAACTTATGAATTTTGTGTACCCTTTCTAAATTTTTCGTAACGCTGTGTGCCACTAATTAAAAACACTAACGTATTTTTTACTACAAAAAAATTGCACAAAAGTTAAAAATCATAACTGGCTGTTGACACCACCAATTATTAACTGTTAACTTTGGAAAAAATACCCAATAGAAAAAATACGTAATCGGAAATTTTCATGACTAGCTTTGTTTCTAAATAAAAAATTTTGAAATTATCGTTTGCTGTAAGATATTTCACATACGAACGCTTACCCCCTCTAAACTGTTCCCGTACCCCTGGGGGTACGCGTACCACACTTTGGGAAAAGCTGACTTAACCCTTTCTCCTTCACTCCCTTATATTCAACGATTTTTCTTTTTGTGTGTGATAAGCCATTGCTAAACTTAAAAAATTAAGCAGCTCCAACAGCTTAAACTTTTCTCTTATACTCCCTTATATTCTTTTTGGTCAGATAAACCATTTCAGAATTTAACTTAACCAACTCTAACTGCATAACCCTTTTCTTGTAACACTAAATTTGGTGACGATAAGCATCACAATAATTATATCAAATATACCAACGACTACAATTCCATATAATTTTTGTTTTTCAGTTTATATTCCATAAGAGCCAGGACCTCAATTCACTATACGAGCATTTACCGCCTGATATACTTCCTCCGGAGCTGGGTGGCAAATTGGGACCTTTCACAAATGACCACTGGGCTTCAGACAGCCAAATAGATGCATTGGAGAAAAAGTATTATGACCAACTGAACACAAATGGCATTATATCCAAAAGAAAAAAGGCAGCGGCATCTAGGTAATACAAATAGGATGTACATATATCCTTCAAATCTTTACTGTGCTGAGTCAATTTTACGACACTGCAGTTCCTCAAGAGTATATTCGAACAAGAACTTACTAAGAGTTGGACCAATGAACAATTGTATTTTTTTAAAACGTTATTGTTCGTGAACTTATTTCTTCAGTCACATAACCCCTAGACCATTGGAAGTGAAACTTCTGAAAAGAACACAGCGTCATAATCCCTTCTTCCATATTATACAAAAATGGTATCAAATACTTCAACAGTTGTGTAAAGTTAACAATTGGACAAAGATTAAAGGAAGTGTAAAAAGAAGTTATTTCTAAAAATTCTATTTTAAGTTTTCGAAAGCTCCATACATCTGTTAGTGCAAAGAACGCTGCAATTTTCTCATTCAAATTAGTTTCAACTTATAGAATAACCTCAAAACGTTTTGAAAATTTAACAGTATTAAAGAAGAGCACCATTTTTCAGAATAAAAAAGCTAATTGAGGACTTAAATTCAATATAAATTTGATCACTATTATTTATAAAAAAAAACTATTTCTTTTTTAATTTAAAGTAACAATATAGATCGAATTACAATGGTAGGTTAATAAGGGATCCGATCCCAACGTCTAGATAGTTGAAAAAGTTATATCTCATCGAGTACTAAGACGCAATGTTAAAAATTTTAAAAAAATAGAACGATCGAAACTAATTGCATTGAAAACTATAATTAAACAACAATATTGTTTATATTTGTGCAATGTTTTTGATGCCTTTCGGTTTGCTGAGATAACTTAGAACAGATTTTATGTTATATCTTAAACTTTTCCAAAGCCTATTTTGGAATCTATTATTTTAAATGGGGATACGGATAATCAGCTCTCCGGATTATTAAAGGTAGAATATTTGGAGTTATATCGAATTTTTTTAAACATAGAAATATTTGCAGTAAAATATGCCTTTAATATCTCAAATTAAACCGGACATAATTTCGAGCAAATCGACATATTACGCAAAAAATAAAATTTTTTAATTAATATTATTTTATATGTTGTTCTAAATTTGCTTGTCTTTAAATAATTATAAATTTTCGTACAGATGTGCAACATTTAACTATAGATGAACTTAAATATTCAATATGATTAATAATCAATAAGCTATCAATTAATACAGTTGAAACACATGGGGGGAATTTGATTTTATATGCGGCCGCTATAAAGATTAATTTCTGGTATGTCAATATTTGTATTGGAATGTGCCAGTTGTATTGTCGGTGTTCATAACTCTTTTTTTATATTTATGAATACTACTCATGTAATTTATTATTTTATAATATTTATGCTTATCCTTTGTTAATAAAAATGTATTATAATTATATGATTATCTCATAGTGCTTTATGAAAAAAAATCAGACTTTGAATGTTAATTTTCAATTATATTTAGAGAATATAAAGAATAATTTAATGAAGATCGAAAAACAGTAATTGTACAGTATAAAAATCGTTGCATATTTTTAAACAATGTAAATTCAAATGGCAAAATCCAAAGTTTGAACAAAACCATTCAAAAAGTTTCTGAAAAATCTGACTTTGTATGTGTATTTTTAAATTTTCTATTGCTTTAGGGGTACTTAATCTACTTCGTGTATATATAAAGATACGTAAACTTGAAAAAAATTATGTTTTTTGAAATTTTTAAACCATTAAATTTGGTTTCTAAAATTTTATTTTTTGACAACTGTACATACCAATTGCTATTGAAAGTTTAAAATCTGACTTCGAAAAATAACTAATTTTCAAATTTTGGGCACAGATATATCTTAATTTGGATTCTAGACAATAACTTTTTGAGTTAAAAGAAAACATTTGTAATATAGCTCTAATAGGTAAAAAAACGGATTTAAAATGTAATATTTAGTTAAACTGCTTACAAATTTAGGTCAGAGAATAGTCATTATTGTGCTAATATTAACTTCAAGAAAAATATTATCATGAAATAGAAAAAAACAAGTTTTATATAATTTTCTCAGATTTTGCAATTTGATTTCTTAATTTAGCTACAATTAAAATATTCAAGGTTTTGAGAAATATTTCTGATTTCCACGTTTTAGGATATAATTTGACTTTATTTTTAAGAAATATAATGTTATTATATTCGAAATGTATTCGATATGTTATATACAGGGTCTTTATAATTAAAGTTCCATTTTGAAATGGCTATAAAAATAAAACTACCCGACCAAATGTCATCAAACTTGGTAAATGTCTATAAAAGGTCATGGGATTTTAGTTCCTGCAACAAAAAAAATTTAAAAAAAGTCAAAAATTCACCACTAGCGGAGAATGGCGCTGTATGCAATAGTGTTAAACAAATGTGAAATATGCAAATTTGTTTTACACGTCATGTGACTTTGCAGTTATAAAAGTGAGGCGCCTTGTCTGAACTGTCAGTGTTCTGAGTCGACAATGTCTGTTACCATGCAAGACCGTGCTTTGCTCGTGAAATGTTACTATGAATGCGACAGCAATGAACGGAGGGCTTTACAAAAGTTCCGTACTCTAAGAGGAAAACGCCGAGGTCCAATGACACCGCAAGGTTTACGGCAAATTTACGGTAAAAGACGTGTAAAACAAATTTACATATTTCACATTTGTTTAACACTATTGCATACAGCGCCATTCTCCGCTGGTGGTGAATTTTTGAACTTTTTTTTTTTTTTTTTTTGCGGGAACTAAAATCCCATGACCTCTTATAGACATTTACCAAGTTTGATGACATTTGGTCGGGTAGTTTTATTTTTATAGCCATTTCAAAATGGAACTTTAATTATAAAGACCCTGTATATTCCAAATAAAATGCATATACACAGAGCTTAATGTAAATAAAACTTTCATTGTTCAATGCCTCATATAAGAAACGAATCATATACCAAAACTTACATAAATAAGTTTCGGTTTATTAATTTCTAAAAAAAAAATTTTAAGTTATCAGTGTTAATATAGAACCTAATACTTGTTCACAACAAATCTAATTTTAAATTTAGAGGAATGTGAATTATATATAAATGGAGAGAAATAGCATAAAGAAAAACTTACGTGTTCGAAAAACTTCTTCATATTTGACTCAAGAATTCACTTTTATTTCAACGGCTAATAAAATACGCAAAATAGAAAACTATCTAAAATTCCCTGTTCTTCAAAATAAACATACATCCATCAAAGTAACGATAAGCAAACAACCAGAATTGAAGAAACTAGCAAAATGGTTGGATATTTAAAGATTCTTAAAAAATCGTTTGATTTCATTTGCTTTAAACTTAATTTCGATTTTATCATGGATTTTGAAATACATTAATGTGAAAACGATTTTTTTCAAACTTTCCTTTTTGTTAAATATTTAAAATGGAATCTTTTCTCGTTTATTACTTTTATCTAAAATATGGAAGGAGGTAATTATTTATTGTTCTGACATGAAAGTGTGTTTGCCACGATATTGATTTTGTAGAAATTTTTTTTAATTAAGAACATATAATTAACTTGCAAGACATTAACATAGACAACGGAAGGGAACTATACTTTAAATACAAGACAATTAGGTACTCATTTATAGACAATTGGGAACTTTCGGGAAACTCGAGAATGTTGCTGTGTGTTTTCAACCAAGTTGTGTTGTTTATTACCATGTCGAAACAACAATTCTCATTATAAATTTTTTTAATCTTTATCAAAAATTAAATTTAAAAAATATACACATTAGGAGTCTCAAAACAATTTTAGTAAGAAAAGTTAAAAATGCTTTTCGAATTTAACGAATCACTCAGGAGAAGACCGGACAAGAAACTTTTAAGACGTGGAAGTTGCGTCGGAAAAAATAAATATATGTTTAATTGTTGAGTGAAACGAAGACGAGTAGGAAACTATTAGAAAAACCTTTGAACAGGCAATCATACTGGTTTTGATATTTTTATTCTAGTCTTCTTCAGTAATGAGTTGCACAATTTTGTTCAACTTTTCTTTTTCCTCGCGTAAGTTATCGTTTGCGTCCCATAATATGAATGCTTTTTCTTTTCATTTTTGAAAAGGTTTCTAAAAATATATATTAAAGCAATCTACTCGCAATCAGAAACCCTTTTTTTCTCTGGCATGCGATTATGCAATTTAATTTTATTCTAAATCCTCTTCAAGAAAAAATATTGGCCTCGAAACGTGATTTTGGTTTTCCTTGTATTCTTTTTGTGTTTAAAATTGCTACTTTGCGATGCTACAGATATTGCGGTTGTGCCGGAGTCTTGTTGTCTTACGTTGGGGTTCATTTTACGACTTATTTAATTTGATAACTTGTTAAGTAAATTAATCTTCTTTTTAACAATATATACATTTTGAGCCGAGATGGCTCAGGGGATAGAGCGTTTGCCTTCCAATGCTGCGAACCGGGTTCGAATCCCACTCGATACGAATTCCGCAACCGGCTTGCACCGACCACCAACCCCTTGCCTTCAGGCTAACCGTGGGAGGCTCTCGTGGCCTTCCTCTCCATGTAACGCAAATGCGGGTTAGCTCCATCAAAAAGTCCTCCATGAAGGCAAATTTCTCCTTATACTCGATCCTTGTCTTCCGGATTAGGTTCAAAATTACAAGGCTACGGAGGAGTTGAACATTAGTAGTCGTAAACCCATAAAAATTGGGTCGGCTGTTCAACGACGGTTATAGAATAAAATAAAATGTATAAATTTTACAATATTTATTCTAAAAATCATTTTTAAATTTAGTAATGAGTACTGAATTATTAATTTTAATTACTGAAGTTTCTCTACACAAAAATTACTGCAATGGGAAAATTTACCCACTAAATAATTTTAAGAGTTAAAACTAATATATTGTAAACTGGAGATTTAATAACTTTATAGATTGTAAAACCCCACAAAGTCAATAAATGATAGCAAAGAATCAGAATAGCTATGGCACATTCTTTTCTGGCACAGGTAACCGAAATTTGGATCCTGGATTAGGCTTTTCCCAGACTATGCTGTAGTATAAGTATCACAAAATACCAGTCTGTTTATATGTAACGCAAATGCGCTTTAGTTTTATGCAAAAAGATAGCTATTTTCAGTTTTATGTAACCGATATTGTTATCTCTAATCTTCGCAGATTGAAAGTGAAGTTTAATAGCACAAGGACCAGCAACAGTATTCTTCGCCAAACACATGAGTTGTTGAAAAAGTGTAACCAAATCGTACGATATTTGAACTAAGTTTTACACAAAACTAGAAAACAAATAAACGAATTAAAGAGGAGAAAATATAGCTAGTATATTTAGAGGTAGAAGGATTTGTGCTTTCCTAAAAAAACACTCTCTGAGAGAAAAGTCCTTATTATTCCAATCCTTGTTTATTTATTGGCTTATTCAGAGATCCCCGCCTCGTGAGTCAGCTTCAAAATTATGACAAAAAAGATAAGAAAATTCATGATCTCAAATCAATAACGTGTATAATCCATTCATAAAAGAAAAGCTGATGATTCACGAGGTTATTAATGTAAGTTTGAATACCAGGTAATCAAACTTACATTAAAAGATCTTGACATTAAATCTATACTTACGACAACATCAGTATTTTGCTTCCCGCTTCTTTTTTTTTTCTTTGTATGGCAACACTCGTTTAATGCCTTTTTAAATTACTTGATAATAACAAAATTTTGATAAAATTAACATGCTCTTAAAGAGTCACGACACAAGATATAGGGCAAAAATAATGGACACCACCCACCACAGGGCAACTACATATAATAAGTGGTGATTAAAAAATTGTCGCCAACCGAACGCCACTTTTTCGCCAAAAAGGCATATGTACTTTATTTTATATTTTTAAATAAATATGGAATTGTTATGAGCATTTAATAATATTCAGAAAATTTCTTTATTCCTTGCTTGTGTCTTAAAATTTTTCTTCGTTTCCTTGTAGTGTTTACCATATTTTGTGAGATTCTCCTAGAGAAATACTTTTTTTATTGTAAATTTTGAATCACTTTTTCAGGAATGAAAAGTTTTAAACAATTAAATAAACTTGATATTCACAAATTAATCATGATTTTAATTATTTTTTAATCGTTTAAAACTTTCAATTTTTGAAAAAGTTGCTACATGTTTTAAAAAAAGATCAGTGTAAAAAATGTTACTACTGGCCACTGACCAATAGCGAAATTTCCTAATTTTGCCCTATATAACTGGATATCAAAACAATCCTATTATTATTTGCTAACTATCTTTAAGCAGAATTTACAGAGACATTCTGACGCACCAAAAACTCATCAACCATCTTCAAAAACTCAAATTTGTCAACGACTTCATCACAGTCAGGCTGCGATTATTATAAAAATTTAGCTTAATTTAGCAGCTTAATTTGTCTTAATTTTCTAAGCTTAATTTATCCCAATTTGTAATTATTAAACATAATAAAATGATACACAAAAACTATATTTATAAATTTCATTTCAATTTTAGCATATCGTACTTTAACTATTTGCAAAAAGGTGAAAGAACAGATGCATATATTAAGCTCAATAAAGAAATCAGATAGAAAGGATGAGCTTACAGATGACAATCAAAATAAAGTATTTTTAGAAGTAAACGAAATTGTAATTTATGATGTTCTGAACAATGCCCATTTAAAGTTTCTAAGAATAAATTCATTATCATACCATTACAGACACTTTACACAGACAACTAAAATAATTACGGAAAAATAATCATTAAATATTAGGGGAACCGGAAAGTAATGTCGTTTCAGAACATTAAATATTCGTTAGTCTTTTAAACCAATTCATTTTTTCGATCCGGCATTTAAAGGTTGTTAATTATTGATTAAAAATAAAATCTCGATAACAAATATCAAATGCACCGAAACGATATTAATTTCCGATCTCCCTAATATCTTTCTTCTGTAATAAATTCTTTCTCTTTCATTTAATCTTTAATTTTTACTAGTTCTTCTTTCTTCTGCTAGCAATTTTTACCTTTTTCATTTTTGTTCAGGTTTTTTTTATTTTTAAATATCAGACGGTTTCTGCTTACCGATCTATTATATTTTTTGCTGAAAATCCCCCCCCCCATAAATGTTCATACATTGAATATTCAAAAAAGAACATTTATTTATATCGAAAAACAATACAACTGATATGTATTAAATGCAAATCTTTCTCACACAAAATAGGAAAATGATACCAGTAAGAAGAACACACACACACTAAGGCATTATTTTAAGTTAATCATAGCATTTGTCTTAATCTTTGTAACCATAATTCAATTGATCCAGAACTTTTTCAGTGTTTTCTTTAATTACATCCTTGTATATGATGTTATCGAGTGATTCAGCTTCTCCTCCATATTCAAGTGGAAGAACAGAGGGACTGATGTAATCCAGTAGAGCTGACAAGTCCGAACCGTGCAACATTACCTGCAAATGAAGAACTTTCAACTGAAAATAGTTCATGTGTGATACAGTTTGAAACAACAAAAAAAAACGTATAGTGCGACTTTCTGGAGAACTCCTCCAGACACCCGTCTCGCGTCATGGCTGGTACTATGGTTACGAGGAAAGGTCACTTCGAATAGGGGTGTGGGGTGAATAGTTTTGTCTTAATCTTAGCGTAGGTCGTCGTGAACAAATTAATCGACACCTTCTTTCCTCCATTTCACCCCCATTAAAAATGTGCTCTCGCTTGTTACCATAGCAGCAGACAGCCCCAGACTTTCAGTCTGGAGGAGTTCTCCTCAAAGCCGCACTATAGTTGCTCAGTGGTTCGAGAATCGCACACCTGTCCGGAGGTGCCGTGGTTCGATCCTCGACTCCGCTGAGCAGTATCAGGGGTACAGGAATCTGGAGAAAATTTTCTTCCCCTTCAGATCTATCTCTAAATTGAGGCAGAGACCTCACAAATGAGGGGTACTGCCACCTATCCGTGGGGTTCTGAGATAATACACACTTTCACCTTTGCGGTGTACTCTTATCAAACGAAGGGCGCACCTTCCTGAATTAATTCACAACATGGTCAATGACTGGCGATCTTAGCTTGTACAAGTGTCATTAGAATCAACAACAACAAAATTAATAATTGTGTATAACATAAAAATATTAATATCGCTGAAGCTCAAAAGCCGTTAATATGCACATTGATGGCTCAGTGGATAAAGCGTTCGCCTTCCAGTGAGATGAACCGGGTTCGAATCCCAGCAATAGCTGGTCAATACGAATTCCGCACCCGGCTCGGACTGACAGTGCTGACGCAAAATATCCTGAGTAATATACGGATCCTATGTTAGAATTTCTTTGACGTCGATCTAACCGTGGCAGATTTTCATGGTTTTCCTCTTCGTGTAACGCAATTACAGATTAGTTCCATCCAAAAGTCCACTACGAAGGCAAATTTCTCCCCATACTTGATCTAGGAGTTCCTTTGTCTTCTGGATTAGGTTCAAAATTTCAAGGCTATGGAGTTGAACATTGGTAGTTGAAAACTAAAAATTGAGTCGGCTATTCAACGACGGTTATAAAATAAAATAAAATATGCACATTATCTAGCTTATCTGAGGAATAACGAGGATGATCAGTTAAAGTGCAGAACCGTATCATTAAAGTTCAAAAAGTTTGATTTTCTCGTTCTATTTCATTGTTGATTGTAGCCATTGACTTGATTCTTTAGAAAACTAAATAAATAACACTATGATAATTCCCTTAATTGTAATAATATTTTAAACCGTTTTATCTTTTATATTATAGTTTTTAAAGTGATTGATGGTTGATTTTATCAGCTAATATGTTGATTGTTTAACTGTAGTAACTTGATTTTTTTGAATAGGGAAAAATAAATAAATGACATTGCTATTACGTTGCTGCTGTTCCAGCTAAATTCTTATTTTCAGTTTAACAAATGAATAGTAGGCAATGTGCATATTATCTAGGTAATATTCAGATTTCCTTGATAATTTGGAAAAATGAAACAATATTCGGCACTTTAACGGATCAGCTTATCTAATTAGTAGAATAACTGATTTCTACACTTTAGCGATAAGAATACTAAATTATGCTCTAAGTTTGATAATATTTCCTTTTTGATTTAACGCTCTTCATTCAAATTCGCGGATAATATTCTGCATTCCGCGTATGAAAATAATGACGTCAACTTCTAAAATCATTCAGGATGGTCACGTGCCTGATGTCATACTTAAACTTATTTCCAGTAACAATTCTTAAAAATATAACTAACATAAAAAATTGGTCTTACTTTTGAATTATACTCCGTTGCAAGTTCAGAATCTGCGGTATAGTATTTAAGTAATCATCCGAAACTGCGTATTATTTTATTTCGAAACTATTTTATTTCGTTATCAAATTATACAAATATGCTTTCAAAGCAGTATAAAAGCTTTTAAAAGTGCTATCATTTACGATATATACCATATTATTATTAAAAAAGGTTATAGTTTCGTAGTCTACTGGAATCCTAGACTTGGCGACATATTTCGATAAATAAGGAGAACATTCGCTCTTGAAAAAGAAACGATTGTATGACGTTGCAAGAACATTGGATTTGATTGGACCACTAAAACTAGAGCGTCTTATTCTGACATGCTTTTAACTAATCAAATGCGAAATAAAGAATTTTTACTTTTGTTTCGCTGTAAAAAAAAAATTCGTCTGCAAGAAACAATATTTAATATTCTTTCATCAGTGTCTGTAAATGCGAACTGAAAGACTTATATTTTTTATGACTTTTAGATATCATTTTTATTAATTCTTATTACGTGTTAATTGATTATTGTAGTCAATAGTCAGATAATAGAACAATATTCTTATCAATAAGAAAGAAAGCGAAGAAGAAGCTGTTGAAAGCGAAAAGATGTAACTTGGTTTAAAAAGTTGGCGATATTGATATACGTTCTCTGGGAGCTTGGCATCCATTTGGCGTGCACTTAGATGAAAATAGGCTTTCTCCATAAGGATAATGGTTTTTTCTTAACTTGCAACAGAGTATAAAGAAAGAAATCATAGCGTCTAAATGTGTTTCGTTATTATTTTCAGAGCAAAAATTGAAAAATAAGTGTTTCAAAAATGTCCCATTGTTATTTTCTCGCCAATAAGCGTCAAGTAAGGATCAGGAGGAAGAAAAAAATGTCTCAAAACCAATTATTTCGTTATTTTGCATAAAATAGACAAGTTATCCATTCTCTAAAATAAATTGAAAAAGTCAATGATATATTGCTTTAGAATTCGAAAAACACAAAAATATTTTAAGAATTTTAGATGAATAATGCGCTAATTGTATTAAGTATTATTGCATATTATGTTGTGGGTGTGATATCATCTTGACGATACTTATCATTGAAATGTTTGGTCTTTTAAGTTTTAAACAAGTGACGGTATTTTTTAACCAATAATAATTAAGAGTGGAAAAACAGCTGTTCCATTTTTATTTTCTGACAATGTTAAAACATCTGTTTAACGGTAGACTGCTGAATAGAGTGTTATGGTTTGTTGCTTTGTAAAGTTCCTTGAAACTGATCCTTAGGAATTAAATAAAAAGACTTTTTTTAGTACCTAATGATTCGTCTCTGTTTGTTATTGATTCAAAATTCTGAAGAAGAAAAAACATAAAGCTTAATATATAACTTCAATTTAAATTTCTTAAATTCAAACCTAGCATACTTACTCGACGTTTTAATTTTGATGTTAAAAGAGGATAAATTATGGACCATGCCAAATTAAAAAGCTTGTTTTCTGATAGAATGTGAAATCCTTTGTACCTTGCAGGAAAACAGTGCTGAAAAAAAATTAAAAATTAATTAGACATATAAAAAAAATTATCAGAAACAGTAAACAACATGTTAAAATATACTAACTTTTATCATTTAAATTTTTTTAACGAGATTCATAACAGCTGTTTGCACTTCCTGAATTGAAGGAATAAGAAGGTAGAAAGTAGTTCATGTAGGATGTTTCAAAATTTGACCAATTAATTTAGAGCATTAATAAATGGCATCAAAAATATTAAAACTTAGCAAAGAACATGGGGTCGCAATCCATGCTTAGAGGGCTTAAAATCGAGAAAAACATATCGGGAAAAAATCACATTGGTTAGACGCGTGAGAATTGTTCCACGGTCTCCACACTCACCGGATTTTAATCCGTGTGACTTTTTCCCATAATGTCACCTCATATCAGGATTACATTTCACTTGCGGATCACAGCTCGGATTGTCATCGAAAGACATTTGTAAACATCAAAAGCACAACTAGCATCTTCGAGCAAGTCAGGGGAATTATTTTTACGTCGTTGTAGACTGTACAATGACAATAGTTGGCACTTGCGCAGTTGGCGATCCCATTTTAAATGGTGCATTTTCAACCTCTTGATGCCTTTTATCACTCCACTGGATTTGTCGGTCGAATTTTGGAACGGCTCGTATCATACCGAACTAACATCGAGTTTATTAATTTATATTTAGTAGTTTAATTAAGTAATAGTTTAGAGCTCAATAAACGGAAAAAATATTATGCTTCTAATGGAAAATTTAACTTGAGATAAATTAGGTTCATTTTTGAGATACTCAAAAATCAATTAAAATAAGTGTGCTAAAATTATAAACATTGAATATTTTATATATTATTAGTTGGTGCACCATTTGCTAATCCTGGAGTACCGGGATGTTGGAATACCGGGTTAGATGAAGGGTGCCGCGATACAACGATGACTGCCAATCAAATATTTATCCTTATTATAATCGTAATTTATATTTATTATATTCATGAGAGGATTTTTTGAGTAAAACTAATCCACACTTAAGTAACATGGATAGAAAAACTATTGGGACTCAACCTTAATCCGTATACCCGTAGACAGCCGTGTACAAAAAAGAACAATCTGCACCAAAAACAAATTCCCTATCCACCCGACCTTTCCCATTCTTGAGCAAGACCTTTTATATATTACTAACACTAAATGTTAATACATTGTCCTAGTCTAACTCGATTAAATCACAGTAACAAAGTAAAATGTCGGCTACACAAAATATCACCAATGATTTGAAACACAGATTAGAAAAGAGATGTAGAAATGCATGTTTTAGGAAAGTCAGGTTTGTATTTTCCTCAACTTCGAATCATCATCATTTCGTGGAACGTCGCCAGTGGCCCATTATGCAGTACTAGTACAACGTAGATAAAGTACTACTGCTATTTCTTTCGAATTTCATAAGTAATTATGAATTTCGTCAACCAATGGCTACTGACTAGAAAATATTTACAATGCTGGTTGTTTTTGTATTCAGACTGTTCCACGCTGTTGCAGCAAAAGGTGGTTATTTTAAAACATTGTTTTACAGTTTTCTCAGTTAACAGCACCATCTGTTGCAGAGATTTGTAATTAATTTTGATGTTAGGTTAAAATAAATAGTTGGCTTCCTACGCATTTTAAATCTCTGTCTTCTACTACTTTTCTTAAACTAATTTTTCAAACATTGCAGAGATTTGCAACTTTTCTAAGCATTGCAGAGATTTGTAACTAATTTTGATGCTAGGTTAAAATAAATAGTTGGCTTCCTAAGCATTTTAAATCTCTATCTTCTTCTATTTTTCTTAAACTAATTTTTCAAGTCGTAGGTTTATTTTGCGCACCCCCTTTGTTCAATTTCAGTTCGTATTCTTTAAAAAAAATAATTACAATAATACAATAACAATTACTATATCTTGATACATAACATATGATATTCGTTTTACTCTACCTGTGTGGAATGGATAAGGAGAAGAATATTAGCTGGAGTGCACATTTTCATTTGCGACCAAGAAAGTCCCCGGGCATCAAAAATCATTCGATATCCACAAACTTGTGAAGCGGGAAACTGTATGGAATGAATTAGAATAGCAGCAATAGCTCTAAATAGTTGTTCAAGGTTATCAGAATCAGGATTCCATAAACCTTAGAAAGTAATATCAGAAATAAAATAACAATATTACATAAAAAAAATAATTTACAAAACTAGAAAGAGAAAAAAAAAATTATACAATTCGAATAACTTTTGATTTACTGATTGGATTTTTCAAAGTATTCAATTGCCATCGTGATAGTTCAAGAAGTCCATGTAGGATATAGTCGATGAGTTTTTTATATCTGGACGTAGTTCGAAATGCGTGTTTACGAGAATGGACAACTCTCGAAATACGTATTTATGAAAATGGATACTGCAAAAACTACTCCTTTTAAGTTTTTAACTCAAATTTAACAGCTAAACAGGAAATTGCGTGTTTACCTTTCCTTACTTATTTCATACATGATACTTGATTCATTACTTATTTCATACATTACGGATGTAATTTTTCTGGTGATGTTCTTGTATTCAAAATTCTAAACGATAAAAGTGAGTCTTACTATTCTTAATTCCTATAGCGTATATTTATAATCATTATAATAAAGTTACAACCTTTTTAAAACAACTGTTGACTTTAAAAATCTTGAAGAAAAAAAAGACTAATTTTAGAAAGTGTACCAAGAGATTTAAGCAAATGGACGAGATTACATTACGAATCTAATTGGATTTATTAGTTTATTCCTAAACAAAAGAAAAAAATGCTCAAAAAAGAAGTTTGAAAATCACTATGTTTATTTTCGTAAATATCTGCATCTATTTTTTAAAACACGCATTATTAGCTTTGAACATTTTTACAAACGTGCATTTTGAACTTTGTCCATTTTCTTAAACACACGTTTTAGAGCTTTGTCCATTGTCGAGCTCTGTCCAAATTTAAAAACTCATCGACGAAGAGTTAAAAATATTGTGTTAATTATTAATTTAGTTACGAACTAAACACGAAAAATGCGGTTTATCTTAAAAAGAATGTTCCATTATAACCACCCTTAATATATATTTTTAGAGCTCTTGTGGAAAATCCGCCAAAAAGCATATACACATTATGGATTTACAAATTTATATTTAGGTTAGGAAAATACTAAAACGCTATTAAACTCTAAAAAAATTTCTACTGAAAGGGGAGAAAATAAACAAGAAAACCTGTTATATTGGTGGAAAAACAGATTGGTGTTTAAAGGCTATTATTAGAAATATTTTAAGTTTCATAAAAGAATCAAACAGGTTTTGACATTTTTCCTCAAACATTCCACACTATTGTTTCTTTTTCGCTTAAATATTAATTTATGACCCTTAATGATTATATTTTATTGCTCCACTTTTCGACAAGGATTCTAAACTTAATTACAGTAATTACAGAAAACTCAATATATTTTGGATGGATTAAATGGATTAAATATTTTTTTATTTGAATGGATTAAGTATTTTTTTATTTGAATGGATTAAATATTTTTTTATTTGAATGGATTAAATATTTTTTTATTATTATTTTTCTGCATTTTTCGGTTATATTTTCACAAACTGTGAAAATCGAAAACGTCATACTGTCAATTATTCGAATCGTTTACTACAAAGAAAATTTCATGATTATATCAAAAAAGGATTTTTGAAATATATTATATTATTTTAACTTATATTATTATACTATATCGTTTTTATTATATTATTTGAAATTATATTATATTATAAATTATTTATTATATTATTGAAACTTATATTATTTTTTTTAATAAAAATTGATGTAGAACAATAACAATGATTTAACTCAATGAAAATTCAATTTAATAATAATTTAATTTAATAATTTTAATTCATAATAACGCAATTAAATAATAAGTGAAAAATATTTACATTTTTAAAACACAAATGTTTTTACATTGTATGAACCGTTATTTTTATGCTCAAATAAGTAGAATTGAAGAAAGAAAAAAACGATTAAATTGTTTTCAAGAAATATCACCATAAAAAGCAAAATTTTTATTAAAGCTTTCAAAACATCTCAACGATCTTTCTATCAATTCCTTCGAAAGTTGTATCATTATATAGATAAATCTGATATAAAACATCAAAGAAAGCCAAAAGAAATTTAAAAAATTAAAATGTCGTGCAAAATCAAACTTACCTTCTTTCTCTCAAAGAATATTTTAAGTGGTTGTTATAAAATAATTTTTAGACATTATATTAATTTTTTAAAAGTTATGTAATCAATTGAAGCACTATAAAAGTTATTTGAAGAATAGATTTTCTTTATTTTAAGGAGAAACAAAAACGGAAAGCAACAATACAAAAATCATTGAATGAATAAATATGAAATTTTTCGCCTTTTAAGAAAAAAATGTAAGTAACGTTCTGAGATTAAAATGTTAGTGATGCAGATTCTCTTAATTTTATGTCCAACTTAAATGTCCACGTATTCTCTAGGTTGAAAGATGACCTTACTTATTTAAAAAAAAAGATAAAAANTATAAAAAAAAAAAAAAAAAAAAGATTTCTTTTTAGTCGATATTGGTATATTGGGGTGGGTAAGATTCAAAGAGAGAACATGGAGCAATCTGGAGAGAAAAAATCGCCGGCTGTCAAATGATAAAGAATAAGAAGTGAAACCCCTTAGTCATGTAAACAATGAAAGTGAACAGTTTTTTATCATTAGTTAATTGCGTAAATCCAATAAAAGAATTATAATTATTAGGTATCAAGTTTTATATGCATCTTAGCAAATAAGGTCTGACAAATTATTATTTTTTACAAATTCGACATAAATTATCTAATTAAAAACCGTCTTCGGTCAATTGGTCCGTTCTCATTAACTCTCCATAGGTAGGCTAGCAGAGGGCATTGTAAAACTTAGTGATATAACAGTACTCCGCATGCGGCTAATGTCTGAATAAATGCAAATCCTTGGTTAATTTATTTAGTTTTCAGGGAAAATTTTTGCCTTCACTAAAAACTAAATACTGCAAGAAGGTACTGTAGAAATTTTTGAAACAGATTACAGCCAATAAATCTCTGAAGAGAGTAATATACGCGCAATTATACTAAGGAACTATGGAATATACTAAGGAATTGTACTAATGAACTTTGATATACGTGCAATTATACTAAGGAACTATGGAATATAGTAAAGAATTGTACTAAGGAACTTTGATATACGTGCAATTATACTAAGGAACTATGGAATATAGTAAGGAATTGTACAAAGGAACTTTGATATACGTGCAATTATAAGCTGAGGAACTATGGAATATACTAAGGAATTGTACTGAGGAACTTTGATATACGTGCAATTATACTAAAGAACTAACAGAATCATGTTATTTTTGCCCCATATATCCGTCTATCATTTCAAATTTTCGCTACCGAACCTAATAATATTACATGCCATGTATAATGTTTTTTGTCGCCGAACCTAATAATTTTGACTATCACATCACGTCTAACGTTTTTTTTTTTTTTTTTTTTTTTTTTTTTTTTTTTTTTTTTTTTTNTTTTTTTTTTTTTTTTTTGTAACTGAATCTAATAATTTTGGTTACCAGGTCATGTCTAATGCTTTTAGTTATAATACCTAATAATTTTCGTTGCTGAATGTAACAATGCTAATTAAAGTTGTACAATAAAATTGAGCAAGAGATCATATTGATAAAAAAATATAATAAAATATGAAATAAAATATTCGGAAGACCTCACCTACTTTAAATATTGCCACTACACAACCTTGCCTATCACGATATGGTAAAAATCCTATATAATTTCTTAATATCAGTTGGATAACTATATCGGAGTTGGAGCTATCGAAGATTTTTCGATGGTCTCGCCTAAATATCCAATAATTTTGGAGGAGTTTGAAGGCTCTTTTCACGTTGAACTTACGAGCTCGGAGGTATTGAAGTAGGAAGGCATCGTCCATTGGTATTACAAAGTTTTTTTCTTCTGAAATGTCAATAAAATATTAATTAAATTAAGGCATGAAATATGGAATAATATACAGCAAGTGAAAAATAATTTACAGCTTATCTACAGGATTTCTAAGTCGAGAACTCCTCCGATAGGAATATCTGAGGTTGTCTGTTGCGACGGAAACAACAGTAAAGAACAATGGCAGTGAAAATAACGTATCTCTCTCAATCTAAACTAATGTAAAACAGTTTACCCGACATCCCTATTCGAAATCGTTTATTGTCGTAAGCACAGTAAGCGCCTGCAGGCAAGACTCGTGTCTGGAAAATTCTCCTGATAGCCGGACAATAAAGTCTTTATGTTCTAATGAATATTTTGAGTAGTAATATTAACAATTGACTACTGGTAGTACGATTAGCTTCAGCTATTGGGCTTAAAAAAAATAAAAATAAAATTCAAAAAAAAAAACAGGTGAAAGAGAGAAAAGCATTCAGAACTATCTCTTTAATTGAAAGTCAACTTCAACTAACTTTAAGAGTGAACTCCTTGTTTAACTATTCATATCAGTTAATTTTAAAATGAAAAGAGCAATGAGAAATCACTGGATTTGGAGCTAACTCCTTATTTTACCAATCATTTTAACTAACTTTAATATCAAAAGAGCTAGGGAAAATCACTAGATTAGGAGCAACTCTTTATTTTACCAATCATTTCAGCTAATTTTAAAAGTTAAAGAAATAGGGGAAAACACTGAATTTGAAGTTAACTCCTTATTTTACCACTCATTTCAGCTAATTTTAAGATGAAAAGAGCTATGGGAAATCACTGGATTTAGGGCTAACTCCTTATTTTACCAATCATTTTAACTAACTTTAATATCAAAACAACTAGGGAAAATCACTAGATTAGGAGCAACTCTTTATTTTACCATTCATTTCAGCTAATTTTAAAAGTTAAAGAAATAAGGGAAAACACTGAATTTGAAGTTAACTCCTTATTTTACCACTCATATCAGCTAATTTTAAAATGAAAAGAGCTATGGGAAATCACTGGATTTGGAGCTAACTCGTTATTTTACCAATCACTTTAACTAACTTTAATATCAAAAGAACAAGAGAAAATCACTAGATTAAGAGCAACTCCTTATTTTACCAATCATTTTAACTAACTTTAATATCAAAAGATTTAGAGAAAATCACTAGATTAAGAGCAACTCTTTATTTTACCAATCATTTCAGCTAATTTTAAAAGTTAAGGAAATGAGGAAAAACACTGAATATCAAGTTAACTCCTTATTTTACCACTCATTTCAGCTAATTTTAAAATCAAAAGAAATAGGGAAATATCACAGTATTTTTAGCTGGCTTCTTATTTAACCACTCATTACAGATAGTAATTTTACAATGAAAATCACCAAGAAAAAATGCTGCATTTTGAACTAGCGCTTTATTTAATCGTTTATTTCAGTTAATTTTAAAATGGAAAGGACTATAGGAAATCACTGGATTCAGAGCAAACTCCTCATCTGAGCTATAATTTTAAAATGAAAAAAAAAAAAAAATTGGGAAAATCACTGGATTTGGAACTAACTTACAACACTCAGCAATAAAATGACATAATGCAGTAGTGCATATGTAATAGTAATTACTTCTTATAAGAGCCCTAAAATCCTCCAATGCTTTGATTTTAACCTCTTCCGTTTCCCTAAGTTGAAGTTTTGCTTCTTCAACCATGCTTGGTGTGAGGTAGTCCATAATATAAGGTAGTTTTTCTTCGGTGTCATCCATTTTGGATTCGGATAGTTTGTCGAAGCTGGCTGATCCGCAAAGTCCCAATTTCAGCCTTTTCATAACTTTTGCAGAAGACATCGTAGATCATTTAAAGAACTAAAAATTGATCAATAACAATAGTTTATTAAGAGATTATAAAATAATTGTAAAATTAAAAACTGTTAGAAATTTTACTATTATTAAATTATATTTAACGAAAAGATTCTAGATGGCAGCATCAAAAATTGTTTGCGTTGAGAAATTTTTTCAATATTGAATTTTGTTGGTTTTGTTTTCTGCAGTATAATTAAAATTATATTCAACAATAGACTCTAGAGGGCAGCACAACATATTTATTCAGAAATGTTTATTTTTAATTTATAATTTCAATGAAATTTAACTGTTGATAAATTATATTTTACAGTTGTAGAAAAAATTTTAATTAAAAAAGCGCCTTGCAAACTAAGAATAATTGTAAAATTAAAAATTGTTAAGAATTTTAGTATTATTAAAATTATATTTAACAAAAAGACTCTAGATGGCAGCATCAGATATTGTTTGCGTTAAGAAATTTTTTCAATATTAAATTTTGTTGGTTTTATTTTTAGTAGCATAATTAAAATTATTGTTTGCGTTAAGAAATTTTTTCAATATTAAATTTTGTTGGTTTTATTTTTAGTAGCATAATTAAAATTATATTCTAAAATAGACTCTAGAGGGCAGCACAACATATTTCTTACATTCAGAAATGCTCATTTTTAATTTATAATTTCAATGAAATTTAACTGCTTATAAACTATATTTTACAGTTGTAGAAAACATTTTAATTAAAAAAGCGTCTTGCAAACTAAGAATAATTCATTAAACTAAAGATAGAAATACCTGTTAAAACATCACGCCAATGAATATTATATTATAAACATATAAATATTATAGGAATGACTAACATTTAGATTCGATCATTTTGTAACATGTGTAATTAAATATCGAATTCCAACATTATAGAACATTTAGTTAAAAAGCTGGATTAGATTAAAGACACATTGAATAGGTATATCATGCGAATTTTAATTATAAAATTAATTTAAATACATATTCCAGTTTTAAATGATATTTTGATTCGTAATGAATGTGTAAATGTGATATTTAAGCCACTTTTCTTCTTATTTCCCCTGAAAAAAAATTTCATAGAGAAAACTTAACTGTGTGACATGAACATAAAGCAAATAATGTATGATGATATTGTTGAAAAATGTATTACTATTTATTGTGTGTTGATTCGTGATCTTTTTTTTCCAATTTTTTAAAAAATTTATACGAATTTCAAATAAGTAATTAAGTTAATTTTGTGAACAATTTGTTAAGTATTAAACAAATCGCAAAAAAATAAATCAAAACTCTTTTAGTCTTTAGAAAATTAACAAAATTACACAGAATATTTAAAATGAAATAAGGCTTATGGTGCTGACATCTCTTGGATGATTATTCTAACTGTTTTAGTAAATTTAATAACAGAGTGTATTGCCATCTCTATAGTAAACATATAATTATGGAAGAACAAATTCTTTTCTTTTTTTTTTAGAGGCAATTCTTTATCGTGTATTTTTATTCTTTATTTAGAAATTATTGGCCGGTTCAGATTTATCACTTAAACAAGTTTCAAGAATGAAATAAATTTTAAATAAATAAGATAAGCATGCTAAAAAAAGTTTGCAAAACTAACGTATTTCTAAAGTATTCTTAGGTTTAAAATCTTAATGTAATTAACCATTGCGAGCATTATTTCTATGGCATTGTTTTTAAAAATTTCAATAAATGAAATAAAGATTTAAATAAATTCTTTCTTTTTAAAAAGACAAAACGATAATCGATAAACTTATATTATCTTTTTTCAAAGAAGCAAAATTTATGAATAAAATTATCAAAAGAATTATCATTAGTCAATATTTTAATTATAGTTGCAATAATTTATAATTACAATATTATATTTATAATTACAATAATTTATAAATCTAGATTGATTTAAATAACTTCTTTCTTTTTAAGAAAGCGAAACGATAATCGATAAACTTATAAATATTATCTTTTATTTTCATAATCATACATTCAAAGAAGTACAATTTATGAATAAAATTATGGAAAGAATTAAAGTTAATAAATATTTTTTATTTAATTTAAACGCAAACCATAGAAAAAATATCCCGAATAAATTTAGATAAAATAAAAGTAAAAAATAATAATAATAACTATTCAGAAAATGGCTACAATAAATCAAGAAAAAATATCAGAAACATGAAACGATATACATAAAGCACATTAAAAAAAATTTCACATTTACACAGTTTTATGATGATAACCAAAAAAATGGTTTATGAGTTTGTATAGAATCAAACACACTTTAATTCCAAAATGAACAAAAAAAAATTCATTTTCCTTCCAAAGACAGGAAGGGATTATGCTGGTTTATAAAATTAACACGCATCATAAAATTAATACCATTTATACCATTTACCAATTAAAATGTTCTGAAATATCCTTTTCAGACTTTCAAAATTATAATAATAATAATAATAATAATTTAAAAACATCTTCATAAAAGGTGTGAAGTGGTTCTAAATTCTCTGCATAAGAAACAATTTTGGCTTTTTCTAATCCAGATAAATGGAATAAATATAAGTTACCTTTATTAAGAAGTAAATTCAAGAAATAAATTTAAATGAGATATTCTGAAAAAATCAAATTCTAAGTTATTAATTGAATGTCTTATTCCAGAAAAATCTTGCGAAGAATTTTTCAATTCAATGTCTTATAATTTTTATTCCAGAACAATCTTGCAAACGGTTTATCAGCTCAATATTTTATTACTTTTATTTCTGAATAATAAATATAAAGAATTAGTTAAAATAAACAAATTAGACAAGTTAAAATAAGCAAATTAGACAAGTTAAAATAAAAATAATAAAAACTTTTGCGGACAAAAAACATCAAAAATCGGAAAGGATTCTCAATTCACTGCATAAAAAACAATTTTGACTTATTCAAATGGAGATAAATGGATTAAATATAAGTTACCTTTATTAAGAAGTAAATTCAAGAAATAAATTTAAATAATAGATTCTGAAAAAATTAAATTGTAATTAATAAATTGAATGTCTTATCCCAGAAAATTCTTGCTAAGAATTTTTAATTCAATGTCTTATAATTTTTATTCTAGAACAATCTTGCTAACAATTTATCAGCTCAGTATTTTATTACTTTTATTTCAGAACAATAAATATAAAGAATTAGTTGAAATAAACAATTAGATATAAAAATAAACAATTAGTTAAAATAAACAAATTAGACAAGTTAAAATAAAAATAATAAAAACTTTTGGGGACAAAAAACATCAAAAATCGGAAAGGATTTTTAATTTACTGCATAAAAAACAATTTTGACTTATTCTAATNGTAAATTAAATATAATTTACCTTTATTAAGAAGTAAATTCAAGAAATAAATTTAAATAATAGATTCTGAAAAAATTAAATTGTAATTAATAAATTGAATGTCTTATCCCAGAAAATTCTTGCTAAGAATTTTTAATTCAATGTCTTATAATTTTTATTCTAGAACAATCTTGCTAACAATTTATCAGCTCAGTATTTTATTACTTTTATTTCAGAACAATACAAAGAATTAGTTAAAATAAACAATTAGTTAAAATAAACAAATTAGACAAGTTAAAATAAAAAATCATAAAAAATTTTCGGGACAAAAAACATCAAAAATCCGAAAGGATTTTTGATCACTACTGCATAAGAAACAATTTTGACTTTTCCTAATGAAGAAAAATGGATTAAATATAAGTTACCTTTATTAAGAAGTAAATTCAAGAAATAAATTTAAATATTAGATTCAGAAAAAAATAAATTTTAATTAATAAATTGAATGTCTTATCCCAGAAAAATCTTGCTAAGAATTTCTTAATTCAATGATTCATCAATTTCATTACAGAACAATAAATGTAAAGAATTTACAAGTTAAAATAAAAACTTTTCGGGACAAAATTCATCTCCCAACAAAATTCATGTTATTTAAAACAGCTTATACATTAACGACAACCTCTTCAAGTAGAAATAATACGCGTATTATTTTAGGAATTAATATGCGCATGCACAAAAAAATTACGACAGACGTAAATAAAATTCATTAACTTAATATCAGAAATCCTACAGCACACAAATTTTTTAATCCTTTAAAAAAATCGTACTATTTAAGTTAACTTAAATGTTTAGAAATTAATAAGAAAGCAAAAGTTCCGATCTTTACTCATAGTTTGAATAATTAATATATATAAACAAAAAAAAGTATTACTACATAAATTAACTTATCCGTAGTTTATCAACTCAGTATTTGATATAATCTATAAATAATTGCCACAAATAATTGCCCTTATCAAAAGAATAAACCTTTATCTAACAATAACAAAACCTTTATCAAAAGAACAAACCTCTATCTAACAATAACAAAACCTTTATCAAAAAGAATGGACAACTTCTTTTTCTCGGGAATCAAAACCATAAATTGAATTTGCTTTACTTACACAAACAACAGCTTCTTAAGTATAAATAAATAAGAAAGTTAAAAGTTCCAAAATTGGTAAAATAAAGTATAGATTTTCTTTTAATTAACTTACCCTTAATTTATGAACTCTGTATCTAATCTAATCTTATCTGAGGACAATAGTCAGACACGAATTTACAGAACATTTATCAAAAATCTAGATTTTTTTTAAAATTACGTTAAAAAATTACGTAGCTAAATTACGTTCTAATATGTATTAATATCAACTACAACTTCCATTAAAAAAAGGAGTCGATCTTCATTGCTTCAACAATAAAAACACAAATTTTAAAAAGAATTAATTAACTAACCCACAATTTATTAACTAAATATTTAATCTAATCTTAAAAGAATTACAATACACAGAATTTACAAATCCATTATTAAAAGTCAAGAATTCTTTTTCCGAGAATTTTGCATTCAAGGAAATTCTCATTATTAACATCAATTTCTTTTAGAACAATTATATCAAAAAGAAGTATCGATTTTCATCCATTGATTCCGAAAATTAAA